ACCAACAGTTGATAGCTGAGGCAGTGTACAGACTTCGCGACGACCCTCTACCTATAGCAGCAGCGCTACAAGGCTGCCGACGGGAACGCAGCCATAAATAGGTGTCTGTCCGCGCCGGAACTACTGCCTCGACAGAGCATAAATAGAAAGAACGCGCATTCTCCCATAATTCCTTCAGCGGTAGCCGCCGGCGCCGATCGATCCGTTGCAAAGTCTGAACACTGACTTATCTATCAATCGTTGGTCAGAGTTCTACTACATTCCTGGTAAACAGTCCCGAGAAATTGTCTCCTAATTGTAAGAGAATGCGAACCGAACCACAGTTTTGAAAATATAGTGCAGTCGTTAACTCATACATCAGAATCACAAAATCACCATCGCGAAGTCTGAACGCTGCCTTACAAGTTCACCAACGTACCTATTGATCGCCACGATAAGTTTGCCGTTGAGCACATCCATATCAAATGGCGCACCACGTATTTCTTTCTCATGCACCAATCGCAAATGTGTCCGCTCTGAACCTTTCCCGGATTCGAATACAAGGAGGCGTCCCTAACAGTTAACATTTTCGCACGAAAAGTTCACGAGAAATAAATCTAGCACTAAGAACCCAACATTTTTCGACTCCGTCTCATCACTGTAGACAAGAGCTGTGCCGACAACGTAGTACGTCGTTGGGTCGTCACCAAGTTTAGTCGAAATCACACTGAAATTGGAGGATTAGCAGTTTCAATTTCAAAAGTCTTATAATTAGCTCGATCACTGAATCCTATAAAAGGGGACAGATATATCGGGGAAAAAGACGCACTGAGATTAAACATGGAGAATTAGTTGCAGGCAGGCACGCTGCACTTTGGGAATATCTAGCGAGAGAGAGGAGCGTTTCTGGTTTATGCAGGTGAAAAAAAACGCTTTTGGTTGCTGACTTTTCTGTGATTTTTTCTTTTCGAAGTGGGCTATATACTACCTTTTCTTCTAGTTCACTTTTGGGTTCAATTTTTCTTGTAAACTCTGGTTAGGAAAGGATTTCCAACCAAAACAAAGACTAACTTGAAGCTATCGATTACCTTAAAGCTTGTTCACATGCTCCCAGTTCATGACAGTGTAGGTATTCGAAAGTATTATCGTCAAGCGTAACAATGGAATGTACATCACCATCAGTTGCATCAATAGAAATCGACGGTCGTTGACCTAAGAAACAGAGCCTTCACATTTCCTTTGTTGAAATGCCAGCTTGATGCCCAGTTAATTCCTCTGAGACGAAGCTGATATAGTGGTAAAGGGCATGCTCACTAGGTTTTCTGGCCTGGGCGGGAACTGGTCTGGGGTCAGAACCCAGGTCGGTTTCCGCCCAGGCCACGCAAAGCCTTCTACACTCCGGGGACCCGTAAACACCAAGCTCGGCTTTCGATAAACACTACGATTCTGCAATGTAAGCCGGGAATGCGTGCCGCGAAGGATTCAGCATCCCTTTGAGCTTGGAGGGGGTACGGATGTGACTCCTGTAAAACTGGCGACATAAAACGTCATTCTGGTATTAGCAATTGGTGTAGGCTGAAAATTGGTTCACCCACTCATCGCCCTGCGACTCCTTTAGGTTCTGCGACAAGGTAGCATTATCCTTTCCCTACAAACAAGTTCTCGGTTTTCACAAGGAATCATTTGAATGCCTATTCAAGGTTATTAGCGCCGCTCGAAGTGACTACCACATATCTAGAACATACCAGCACTAGTTTTACTCGCAGATTTTGCTGTAGCCATCTTCGATACAGAATATCGATCAGAATCCTGGAAATAGAGGATCTATTCGCACATTTCAGACACTATATCAGCTGCAGAAAGTCGAGCCCACAGTCCACAACGGCGCCGCGCCTGACAAGCGATGGGCATTGTGGGACGTTTTCCGGTTGAATGAACCACTCCGTCGTACAGACTTCTCCCAAGTTGCCTACTGTTGCGAATGTGCCGTGTTCTGGATTTTCATACCACGGTCCAATAACAAGTCGTCTCTCCGATCGACATATACAAGGCTATTTCTGGAAAATGGCTCTCAATAGCCCCGCGTCCTTTTTCTACCCCACGGCTATAAAGCTATGAAAGCGGACCTGTAGGACGACGAGTTCAGGGCACAGACGTGCGTAACTATACGCAGATTCACGTTAGAAAAGACCAGTTTCCCGTTGGATGAGAAAATCACGGCAGGGCGATCGCTACATACGAATACGTGCATTTGGCCACGAGTATAAAAACGATTTAAGCTAGGTGGCTGAGTTCCAACCGTAGCTTTCTTCATTTCCAACAATGCGCCTACATTCAATCAATGAATAGTGGACACACTATGCACACACTTGAGAACGAGTGAGGGCACAGTTTGGCTCGGGTGGGGGGGGGTGGGAAGCAGGGCGGTGCAGTTTTGCTACTTCCCATCAACGTGTCGAGCCATCAGGTAGAAGTGAAATCTTGAGAAACCATAAGCAATGCCCTCCAATTTTTGTCATGCAATGAACAGGACAATGGGAAGTAGCGAAAGTACAGAATATCCCCCCCCCCCCCAAGCCGAACTGCGCCCCAATGAGTGCTAGCCTCACCATTTTCGCGATCAACACGGTAGTAGTACAGTGTTCCATCTCCTAAAGCCACCATCAAGTAGATCGTATTCTCAAGCTTGGTCATCATTATCGAGCGCGGCAGCATATCGCCAGGCATATTCTCACAGGTTACCTTCAAAGAGGAAAAATTCGAAAGCTCAAAAGGAGAAAGCTCCAAGAGTTGATCACTCTCACTCTATAATTCACGCATTTAAACTGAAGTAAGAACAAATATATGTGCAGCTTTTGAAAGGTTTTGGTGCGAACCTAACGACGCCTTAACCTTGGGAAATGAGGGAGCATTCAAAGAGCTTTTTGTGAAGTGCTGGGATCACTGCAAAAGAGTTGAAGAGTTTTACTTAAGCAAAATGAATGAAGGAGCTCCCGGGTAGGTGACACAGTCTCAATTGAAGCAAACTCATCCCTATCAAGGTGACCCTAGTTCTGCACAAATAATCTTTCAAATACCCCTTTTCCCCGTGGTTATTAGCTCTGACCTACCTGATGACTGACTAGCTTACCTCAACCAACTGCGGAAGTGAATACAACGCAATTCGATGATGCTTCCAGAATCCTACTGCGATGATCGTAGAATCAAGTGATTCCTCTGAAGCTGCGAATGTAATAGAGTCCTTCACGGGAGAGCAGAGCAACTGCTCAAACATACCTATAGTGCCAATATCTATGCATGCCACTTCATCCTGAAGTGTCGCATTTGCAACTTCACTGATCGTCATATCACCACATTGAAGATAGTAAACGCGTGTTCCGCAAGCGACCACTAGCTAAAAAAAGAATAAATTAGATGCTTCGGAAATCGAATGATCCCTAGTAAGTACCTGTCCGCTTCCTTGATTTACAGATACCAAGTTTATCAGCGCGTTATGCGATGGTTTCCAAGTAACCTTTTTAGCTCCTTCTTTAGCTAATAACACAGTGGTTGATGTTACCTGAAAAGCTGAATGACAGCAATAAATCAAGCCTCGTATGAGAACGTTCGACTTGGTGAAGGCTCCAAACGGCACGAAAAACCGATCGCGAATGCTCTTGGGGGCCGTACTTTAGATTTTGACGTACTTGGGCTGTAGGGCCCTTCGAGGTCCCCTACATATACTATCTGGAGCCTAAGAAAGTTGTCACAGCGCTAGTTAAAGGATTTATTCCCTAATAACAAGCACTGCGAGATATGCCTTCAAGGCAAGCACGGGGCTCCACCTCCATCATTCTATGGTCATCACTTTGCGCCCTCTCAAAATCTAAAATTTGATGATAAAAAACTTAAGTTATAAGTAAGTTGGATGGAATAGCGTTTAATGCAAAGGGGAGACGAAAAAGGAAGTCAGTCCTCACCTGTAAGACAATTTGGGATAACCCGAGCATTCCAGCCCACAAAGTGTGCTCGTCCGTTTCCAAATCTAGAAACGTGGGCAATTAGACTCAGGAGACTACCACTCTGAGAAAATCAGACCACATACCAAGTAGTTGAGTATCCTCCAGTTCTTCCCCATTCATTGCCAGTATGTGAGTTTCCGAACTTAGCGAGATAATTAGGTAATTGTCAAGTTTGGAATCAATCTTCAGCGCAAATATACCCTGAAAAATTAACTGTAGGAGCGATACAGAAAACAGTACTGATTAACTACCAACCTTGACGCCTGGAATATCTACAGATGCAGCTTCATCAATACCGATGCCATTCCGTATGATACGGAGAGATCCCTCCTAAATCACTAGCCATTCAACTTGAACTTCGTGCCATTAGTACAAAAATCGGCGCTGTCCGGCTTGGAGGGGCTTTTTAAGGCTTTTCTTACTATTCTTTTGTTGGTTTCATGTGTAACAGCAGGTCTACCTTGGGCATATCGGTGAACTCCTATTGTGAAGCTGGCGAAATGAGTGGTGCATGTGAATCACCTGTGGTCACATAAACTTTAGCGTCTTCATAAGGGTCTCCACAGTCAACTGTTGTACCATCCGATGGATCTCGCAAGCCGAAGCTGCAACCATATTTAAAACCTTAAATGCTCCAGAGCAGGTAAGATTTGCGTTCTAGCGCCCATGCACATCTCCATGACAGCCGATAGCTGCTGAGGGCGAAGATTGCGTGTAATTGTTTGCAAAATCTGAAAAAAAAAATGTCACAGGTAGGCAGCTAATACATCTATGTGCATGCGTATTTCAGCACAGTTAACAATTCGAAAGCGGAGTAGGTATCCGCAAGCGCGCCACGCCATCAAGCGGCGCTAAACTATCTTTGATCAGGGCACGAGAGACTATGAAACAAGGAAAAGAGCTGTTTGACTCCCTCTTCGGTCAGCCGAAATAACTTTTGATTGGAATATAGCTTCTCCCATCCAGGTGGTTGTGAACATATAAACCCTGCAGCGGGTACGAGCCCCATTTGCGCAGTCCCTTGGCCAGCGGTATGGCAAGAATAGGACTTAGGTCTGCCGTACCTTGGCTTCGCATGGATACAACCCGTGCCAACCTTGGCTTCGCATGGATACAACCCGTGCCACTCAGATGTGCACGTTATAGCCCGACTCTCGATGCTATCCGCCAATCTGCCGGACAGCGGAACGTCTTAAGGTTTGGAAAAAAGAATTCTGCAATATCGCCCCTTTTCCTCAAACCTCCTTCTTCTGGTACCGCTCTTTCCCGTCCCCCTGCTACGTACCATCTTCCTGATTCTCCCAACTTCCTAACACTTTTTTTTTCGGACTTTCCAGGTCCTTCATTCCTCTCTATCTAATCTATATACCTATCTATCTGTCTATCTATCTATCTATCTATCTATCTATCTATCTATCTCCCTCTTCCTATTTGTTCCCGATAAGAAAGTACCAGATCCGAGGAGGGCACGTGTATTGAAAAAACGAGAAATACAACGATCAAAACATTTTTGAAGGGAAATACCCCCCCCCCCCCCCCCATAGCAGAGGATCCCCAACATACGCCCTTCGCTGTTCCTGGCTTTTGAGGCCTAATGAAAATCATTCAAAATATGTATGCAGGATAACAGAAAAAGCTGTGTGAAGACTGGCGAGGACTGACCTGAACAAAAGAATTATTCTCGGGATTCGGCTGTGAAGTGAGACGAACTAGCTGAGAATCACCAAAGCGTGAACCGACGAACAAAACCCCATTATCCAGGTAGACCAAACACTCCGCAATCGTCGTTTCTCCAAGTGATTCGATCTTTAAAGTAAACACCTACTTTACAATTATATCACATTTGAATCATTTACATACAGCAAAATGATCGGCACCTTTCAGGCAAACTCAGTTATTATTCCAACTGCTTACCACTCACTACAGGCTGCATTCATACTTTGCGCCAGCTTCGTCAGAGACTGTCCGCGAAGAAGCTCAAAAGTGTTCGCGAAAACGCTCAGAACACCGATGTACTCCCAAAACGCTAGCTCGATATATATATACTTTTCCAGTCGCTCAAAAAACTGGCGCACGCTGAAAACGCTGACGCAAAGTATGAATGCAGCCTTACTTGCACTCTATATCCAGGAGATGAGGTGGGCGTGGCTTCGCACCATCATTGAATCTGCGTATTCAGAGGTGGTAATGCCGTTCTGAGGCAACCGTAATCAAACCAGTGCGCAGCACGAGCCATGATGACAATCGTCTCTAATGGAATATCCCACGAAAAACGAACCCTATACCATATTCACATGAAGTACGCAGCCACGCCCCTCTTGTCTCCAGGATATGGAGTGTAAAGTCTCCTAGTGGTGGGAGATAACTAGAAACAATTGAAACATTAACCTTCAAATCTTTCACACTGGGACTGGGACTCTTAGTATCCATGTCCAAAACAAGCATGTAAAGTATACCGTGATCATCAGCCAACAAGAATCTGCAAGAGAAATCCTTCGAAAATGCGAGAACAGCGTCGAGGGAGTAAGTCCGTCACCTCTGCCCATTTGAATCAACTGGGGCGTAGCTTGTGAAGAGAGATCTATTCATCGTGTTTGGCGAAATTGTTAAGTAAACATTGTCTTCTCTGAAAAATACAATCTCGAAAAGTTTTATGGAAACTGAAAAGTAACCCAGCCTAGCTCGTGCACTGTAACCTACTTACCCATTGTACAATATTGTTTCCTGACCAACGACAATTACACCACCACAAGGCAGCGGCACAGGTATAACCATCCTGGCTTCCGTCTCGATATTGTCCTGGAACTCCACGAGTGAAGCGGAGATAAATAAAGCACGGAGTGGAACTGTTCGGCTTGGAGGGGCATTTTGCACTTCAACTAGTTTCCTTTGTTGGTCCGTGTCAAATAACAGATCTCACTTCGGTGAAACTTTAAACTGCTGTGGAGCTGCAAACGGTGCTAGTGAACCACTTTGTTCACAGGAATTTACAAGTTCTCACAAGGTAACGTGCACAAGGTCAGCTGAGAATCATTCGGTGCCCCCAACAAGCAGTACAGCGCCTATGGAATCCTTCAAATACAAATAGTCCTTAAGCCAACCCAGTGGGAATTATACTCACGCCTTATAGCGCTCCCAAATGGCAGTAACGGTGCTCATGAAAAACTACACTCACCTGCTTTGAGATCGTTTTCAGTTCCTTTTCCACCATGGAAAGTTCGACGGTCTTCAAGTGCCTACCATTTGAATCCTGAGAGATGTAGGCTAGCCTTATGGAGTCACCTTAACATTTCCAATATAAATGCGTCAGAACATAAGGCTGCGTTCTTACTTTGCGAATGGGGAAAGAACGCGATTCCGGAGAGAGTGCAGTGCAAAGGGTCCCCCCTATCATAGGCCGCGTTCTTACTTTGCAACCCATGCATTTCCTTGGCGCGCAGTCGCCGAGTCTTTTAAATCGCTCAGTCTCTCCAATCGCCAGATCGATACCTATGGTTTCCTCGTCGCGTGATCTCTCAATCGCCGAATCTCCTCAGTCGCGCGCTTGATGCGGTCTAATCTTTTGACGCCCATTCTCTGGAATCGCGCGTTTTCCACATTAGCAAATTATGAACGCGAAGAGAGACCACAAGAAAGAGCTTATAGCTGCAATTTACAATGAAATGTGATTATGCAACAACGCTAAGTCTACAAGGAAAGATAGGGAAACGAGAAATAAGTAAAAAAAACCACAGGGAAAAGCTAACTCGATGTTTCCGTAAAGCTCAGGTCCACAATAGCGAGATCTTCAAATCGAACATTGAATGACTTCAGGTCCTTGTTATCTTCCCACTGAATAATTTTCAGTGTCCCATCATAGATACGCAACGCAATAAGCTGAAAATGATGGGGAATTTCAGCAAGTCACAAATATATACCAAAAAGTCAATATTGACAGAGAAAGAGATGAATTCGGATTGATCTTGGTACATGAGCCAAAAACTACTCTAATTTTCATTCTTAAAACCCCTTTCCCTTCAACTTGCCATCACTGGAAATCAACGCTATGGGGAAGAGTGGGCTGTAGAATCCTGTTCGTTGCAGAGGCTAGGACTTGTAAGAGGGGCTAGGTTCGGCACAGCACCACCCCGTTCTTCGCCCTTTGTTGTCGTTTGTCCACTTCAGCAAATTGTAGAGAACGGGCTAGCACCGCGCCAAACCCACCCCTGACACGCTGCGGCATCCACAGAACTGCAGTTGCATCCTGCTGGTCAACTATCCTGTTAAATTTCTCAGGAACTCACCCCAGATCTATTCACACAAGCAATCGGACCGTAGTCGCTTGGTCTTCCAACCCGATCGCATACGCTGCCAGCTGCTCGTGTTTTCAGTTCGTTTCGTTCAACATCCCATGCCACAATGGCTAAGTGATTCTTTGCCGTAAGTATGAGTAGGCTGTCACGAGTCTAAATATAGAGAAAGGATCAAACAGTGACCGAAAATCCTCTAAAAAGGAGATCTTAGTCTCCAGTATAGCTTTTGGAGGAAAAAAATCCGATCAAAAAAGTTGATTGGTTATAGGTAGCATTCACATCTTGCAACACTGGAGGATCGAGGAATCCATCAAAAACAGCAGATGCGTATCGACTGACAACCGCCCGATCAAGAATCGGGATCAATCGATACGTGCTTGATCATTTTCGCGAATTCTCCGCTTCTCTAGGGTCGCGAAGTATGAACGCGTAGCGATAACTTTCTGTTCCACAGAAAACCAGACTTTTTCCCTGACGTCGATGGGGGCTTAAAAGAAGGAATACCCTTTGCGGCAACGAGTATAGACAATCCATCCATACCTCATTCTTAGGCCGAAACAATCGTATCGTTTCAATTCTGCCGAAAACAGGAACCTCCTGGACCACCTTCAATCCATCAGATGCGACCTTTACAATTTCCAATCGATTCACTTTTGCAAGGATGAGATTCATATCCTCATCGCCTAGACGAAACAAATTGGGAATGAGAGCTGTTTTCTCAATACTTCAACCGAACTCACCTGTGAAATTACCCACAACAGCATCCGTAACTACGGATGCCTTCTTTGCAGAGACGATGTAGTTTAAAGCCATTTAGTAGCGAATCACTTCTCGCAGTATGTGGAATGAAGCGACCTATAAACATAGCTGATAGTTTCTTCCTGATGATAATCATTGCTGGTTGAGGTCTCAGTGAACTCGTCTTGTTCGGGGCGTGAAAAGGACGAAAGTCAAGCTGTGACTATTCGACCAGTTATCTCACCTACCTATCAGATCTTTGACGCCATCCAGTCCGACACGAAAAAAAGGGATTAAGGCATGAAATATCATGCTTTGATCCGCCGCATATACAACTTGATCTTCAGGATATAAAGAATGCTTATTTATGGTAATCCCCTTATAGAATATTCGCTTTCTACCCGGACTCTAACATTCTTTTCGAAAACTTCGGTCAAGTTACCTTCATGCTTCGAGATAGGAGAACCGGCGATTCGACGCTTTGGGAGAGTACGCGCTCAAGGGATGTACAAGTCTGGCGCTAAAGGGATGTACAGGTCTGGAAAATATGAGAATCGGCGATTGTGTGTGGTAGAAGAATGCAATGCGCATCAGAGATGTGT